GCACGTTTTCAGGGCTTGATGGTGATAGTGAAGGTGATATTGAAGATCGAGGATTTTGGATTGTTCGAGCACTTGACGAAATGCAAGACAACGCTGCGTGTGCATTGATCGCCGGTTGTTGTTGATTAGCAGACTGCAAGTCAGAGTTTCTTGACAGTAAAATATTTTGAGGAATTGATGATTGTTGACGAGTACATGTTTGAGATGATGGGGTATTTCGGGAGCTTGCTAATGATACCGGAAAGAATGGCCTGCTTTCAGAGTTTGATGGTGACAGTGAAGATGATAATGATATTGAAGATCGAGGATTTTGGATTGTTCGAGCACTTGATGAATTGCAAGACAACGCTGCATGTGCATTGATCACCGGTTGTCGTTTATTAGCGGACTGCAAGTTTGTATAGGTTCTAAAACATTGAGGTTCAAAAACAGTATACTTTCAAGAATGCTTGTTATATTTTTTAGCTACATTACTTACTTTCTTGACTGAATATGTTCCGAAAGAAACATCATATTTTCATATAAAGGAAATCCTTTTCTTCCTGTAGTACTTTCACTACCGCTTCTTGTTTCTGCATCCCGTAACCTCCGCTCTTTTGAAAATCTATCCCTCAAGCGTATCCATCGTTTCTGACAATCTTCCACTGTAAATAATGTCATGTGTTTATTTCTGTAAATATATTTTAGTTGCAAAACTGTATAATTCCACATACCTGAACAATTCATAACAGATGCTATTTCCACCCATGACCGTTCACGTACATTTTTATCTTTAAAATCTTTTAAATTCTTTGCATAAATATGAGGATAACCTCTCACGACGTCGATAAAAGTAGCATCGGATTCAATATTCAATTCGGTCACAGACACATCCATATCTTGTGAATACATATCTTGTGAATCTTCAAGGTCCGTATAATATGTTTTGTCGTACGAGTGATCCATTTTACGATTTTATTTTCACAAAATTCCAATCCGATATTTACCCAAATTTTTGTGGTTATGCAGCTTGTTCATGGATGATTCGTTTATCGCGTCAAACTACGATGTCAGACAACCTCGCAATCTGATTGGCCATCTATAAAACCGTAGCAGTAGAGTAGGGGGGCAACAGGTACTTTTACACTCGGGGATCTGGCTTGCGGTTACGCGGCGTCGGGGGGGGCTTCGCTGCCGCGGGGGGAGCGCCGTAAGCGGTGGGCGCGGGGGTCGAGGGACGGTGTAAAGGGTCATCGGAG